TGCAATGCAGTGTGTTTTAGCTTTTTTGTGCATGTTAAAGGTCTGCAAACTTACAGAACCCGAAGTGCACAATAAAGGGAGTTATTCTTTCCGACAAAGACAGGCATTAAGTCCAGGCTTTTCTTCCGTAACTTCTTTACATGCCTGCCTCGTATGTAGTTTGGCCCTCAAACAATGAGTTGGCAGCTTTCGTTTCGCCATTATTTTTGAACTACAGCTTCTTCTGCCAGTGGTACATCCATTAACTGTAAGGTTGGGGTTACTAACATTTCATTGGTCCAGCCCTTTTTACCTTTTTGTATCACCTGACTTGCATGTCTCCTCTGTTGTCTGTTCCACGTCATTCTGTGGCCCGTCCACTGTGGTTGCAGCACTTAGAACAGCACTACATGTTTCATCACTTCCCATGTTACCAAATGGAACCAGTGGGCTTCCTCTATTAGCTGCTACTATGAATGCACACTTACAATATATCTGACTAGCGTTTCTAAAGTCATGTTGAACCACATTCATATGGTTTTTTTCCCCAAATGGTTTTTATTTCGCAGTATTAAAAAAATCTGCCGCACCTTAAACAACATCGTTTGCAAAGTGCAGCCAGTCGTTTCTAGTCTGGAGCCCCGCAATCATTCAGCCGGTAATGTGAGTCTGTTGTTTGTTTCTCTACATATTAACCCCCATCCCCCCCTTTTCTCTCTCTCTCTCCTCTGTTTATCTCCTTTCTCAGCTCTTGGAGTATGTTGGCAAAGGAAAGAGCATTATGGATGTGGGTTTGGCCCAGGCCCGCCAGCCACTCACCACTCGCTGCCATTACTATGAAGTGGAGATAGTCGATGCTGGAGAGAAGTGCTACATTGCCCTGGGCTTGGCAAGAAGGGTGAGCTTTCTAAGAAAAGAACAGCTTTGGACAACATCACACACACCTACACTCAACAGAGCAGCGAGTTTTTTGAGCTTTGTGTTTGGCGTTTGTCCCTACCCCCATTTTTTCCACATTGTCATATATCAATAAGTGCAGCTCATTGAATTCAAGGGATGTGGACTGCATGAATAAGTCTTCCACTGGCTGACTTTTGCATTCTCCTTTTTTTTATATATATACTTTTCCCTCTTGGTCCCCACAGTTCAACAAGTGGCTGAGGTAAAAACATGCTAATGATGGAAAATTTTGACAAAAACCTGAATTGGGAATTAGGCAGATAATTACCATGTGCAAAATGTTCCTCAGACCCTGTCTTGGGAATGTTGTAATCTTGGCCCAGTGGAAGAGCAGCAGCACTCCTGTCCTTCTATAAATCCTTTCACATACATGCAAATCTCTGTGCATGGAGAAAATATGATGAGTGGCTAAGCCAGTAAAGCCCTTTTCAGATGACAAAGACTGTGTGGAACAGAGTCTCATAGTAAACACAGGGGTACAGTCATAAGCCTGATTTTCATTCCCATTATCCAGCAGCTTAGCCATTCTCTTTGTATCTAATGGCCTACTTTGGGGAGATGAAACGCCTCCAAGAGGAAAATACAATTAGAGAAATTTTAACACTCTCATTTGAGCCCTTATTTCTTTTTCCAAAGAATGCACATGTGGTTCCCATTTCAGCATTAGCACTGCAACTTGTAGACAGACAGACTTGTAGATATTTTGAAGGTGAGTAAGACTGATGGACACCGTTGGTGAAAATTTAATGTGATTGCTATGTTTTATAAACTCGAAGGTGTAAAGTTGAAGCTGTGAGAATATGAGGTTGTTTACTTCTGCCGTTCCTGTAGACCTCCCCCACAACAGTATAGCCTCCCAGATTTACAAGGCAGTAGGAATTACATCAAGTGTCGATGAAGAAACAGAGCAGCTGCCTTGTATTCCACCAGGTTTGCTTACTTTCTACAGCTGCTTGTGCTAACTCTAAAATGTCTGAACCATGAGCAAAATCACACCAAATGTTCTGCTGCTGGCTGCAAGAGTTAACACAAGTCTTCATGCACTCCCAGCATCGTAGAAACTGAACACCCCATGGATTTCTTTTGTTTTTCATTGTAATGGCACCACAATAACAGCTAGTATGGCTAACGTTGCCATTAGCGTTGATCGTATGCCCACAGGTCAGAGCTGTATGTAAAGTGTGAAGCGATTTGAAGCCAATAAGCGAGAACTGGGCGGGTTGCTGGGTTTTCACATCACCTGTTGTGTTTCATTGCAGCTCAAATTTAGCAGCTGTTTGCATCTGTTAGCTTCTCTCCTGCTGTCTGTGCTCACATAAAGGGCATTTTAATACAGCCGAAGTACCAATGACACTCTTGAAATTTACATTTTTTGTCTGTCTCTGTTGTCAGACAGTAGAACAAGTATGAAATAGTGACTTAAAGCAGCCTCTGAAGACTACTTGTTAACCAGACGTTACTTGAGAGCCAGTTCCAAGCTGCTGCTCTGCGCTGCTAAGCTACTAATTTTATAACCACAGTGTCGTCTGAGAAACTAATCAAAGCCGTAAGAACGATGGCTGCGCTGTGAATTCAGTTTTACATGTAAAATGAAAACCTTGGAGAGAACGTTAGCAGCAACAGAAAGAACAGAGCAGACACAGAGATTGACACGATTAGCTCAGTCGCATTTATAGAGAGCGACTAGAACCAGGGTTTATTTTATGTTACTACATTTCAGCGCACATCTGCAAAGCCGTAAAATATAAGCAGTAATAATTTATGCTAGAGCTAATCGAACGCTCGTTGCTAAGCTCACGAAGGACAGCGTTAAACTTATATAAATGTCTGCTTCTAGTATTATTTTTCTGACTCAGGAACTACTTCTTTGACAGTATGGCTTCATGATTTGTGAGTTTTTTTACATCCTGTAAGTGTGGCCTTGGAAGTGTTATGAATGTGAAATATTAGCGACTGCCAAAGCCAAGGCCTATGGAGAGCTGCCAGCATTGTCTCTCCCAGGGTCAAAACTGCTGCTCCTTTTAATAACAAAAATAAAAGATGAAACTTGTACCACATCTTTCAAGGTTTCAGAGGCGATTTATTTAAAACAGGAACGCTGGAATGCATAGGTCACTGGATGACATTAAGACAGAGAGTGCAGGAGATGCATACGCAGTAGGGAAGCTGAGCAGAAGAAATGGATGTGCACAGTATGTGTGTGGTCCACTTACAGATTTCCATTTAAGCCAAGTAATTCCTGGAAATTGGAAAATGATTAAAATGTGAGAATGGTTTTAGTCTCACTCGGGTTGTTGGCTTTTTGTAGAGTTGCTGCTGTCTGTCTCCTGAGAGTGAAACAAAAAGTAAAAAGACTAAAGACTGCACACAAATATGGACGAAGCCTGAGATGAACAGTGGTTTTAAAGCTCATCGTGGGGTTCAGGTGTGTTAATATCAAAATCCACCTCCTGTACAGTAGTGAATGGAGAAGTCTGTGAAGATTCTCGGTCATCCAGGTCATGGTTCTTCTCGTAGATTAATCGCAGCAACTGGACTTGCTTGAGTTCCTTGAAGAAGTTTCACCTCTCATCCAAGAGGCTTCATCAGCTCTGACTGACTAGTTGGGAGTTCCACATACAGTCATGACCCGATAATCCGACCCTTAACAATCCTAAACCTTGATCTCCGACACTTTTTTGGAAAAACAAACAGAACCCATTAAAAACAGCCTTAACATACTGACAGCCTTGGATTCCAACTCCGACATGACATTTTATGTCACCAATCAGGATAACGGCGTATTATCTGACTGAACAATCCCACAGATTGGCTACGTTCACACTGCAGGACAGTACTGCCTGTGTGTTCTGGACACTTCCACCCCGTCGGAGCACTCCCTCGGGGTGGAAGTGTGCCCCGACTGCGCCGAATATTCTGATATTCATCATTAATTGGGCCTGAATATCCAGAGACCAGAAAGTTCTATTGGGACCAGCCCTACTAGTTATTATAACAACCATGAACAATGAATATTAACAACTAATGAGTCTTCCAGCATCAAGCCCTCCTTGTATCTCGACCTCCGTCTTGACAATCCGACAGCCTTGCTATCCGACATAGAAGAAGGTTTTACATTTACTGCCGGATTATGGAGTCACAACTGTACTTATATCCTTAAGGAGCCATTAACACTTGAGTTTTGGTTTAAATTGGTTTGTTGCTCCACCCCCTCGTCATGTGAGTCGTTCGTGCTCCCCCTGCCAACCAATCGATTGGTTCACTATAGCCCCAGGTATTGCATCAAATAAATCACAGCACCAATGTTTTGAGTTAGTACCAAAAATGAATTCCCCTTAACAGAATGCTGATGGAAAACCTGGTGAAATGTCTAATTTTGAAGTCTTTTGTTAATCACATTTGTGACCAAAGAAGTACACAAAACACAAAAAACTGATTGAAGGTGAAATTAATTTTGATCAATCACACTGTATTACCATTTGTTGAACTGTTTTCTGTACATACAGACACAAAAACAACTAAAACAATCCTGTAATGGAGCTAAACATGGGTCCCTGTGCACACACATGCTCCCAGTTAAACAGAGACGCTGCTCCCATGGGTGAGGAAGAGGCTGAATGGTGATAACTCCAGTCCCATTATCTCCTCACAGTCCCCGTTTCCTTTATTGTGCTCCACTACATTTCTCTCTGCATCTGGGTTTCATTATAAAGACATTAAGCTTAAGTCCAGGAGAGGTGATAGAGCAGCAAATTGAAGGGCTCGGGTTAATGACTGTTTACTCAACAGCAGTTGCACGTTTGCATGTCGATTTTTTTTATTTTTTTTTCGTGTAGCATCCTGCGGTAAGAAAGCAGGCCTGGATATAAACACAGATTCACTCATTAATGCATCACAGGCTGCCAGACTCTTTCTGCCCGTCTCTCTTTCTGTTTGTTGTGGTCGCCGACAGCAGGCTCAACTCTGTTTTCTTCTGCGTAGAAATCTGTCTTTCCCCTGACATCAGATTTTCTGTTAACGTCCACGGCAATCATTCACGTCTCAAGAAAATAAATTGCAGCGTAGCTTCATGGGTGGAAGAGGCAAGGTCGGCACGCTCACCACTTTTGTGGTTGTGGGGTAATTTTGTGTAGACATTCATGGTCCCCAGATGCTGAAGCTTACTAACTTTTCATTAGCCTTGAAAACGGTATAAATGGAAGAAACCTACGTGAGGACGGGGGTTCATCTTTCCACCACTTTAATAAAGACTGAGATATCTGAACAGCTTTTGATGACATTGCTGTTACGGATGCAAATTTTAAACAACTGATGGTCAACTGTGTTATTCATCAGTAACTGATCATTCAAAGAATGAATGAAGTATGCAGATAAAGCCATTGTTAACCATGAACATGTATCATTTGCCCTAAAGTGCAGCTCTTTTGTACTATCCAGTTGATTATAGAAATACTGCCATAGTGCAGTATGGCTAATCTTCAGTACGAGAGCTCTGACCATCCATCCATCCATCCATCCATCCATTATCTATACACCACTTCATCCTCACTAGGGTCGTGGGGGGCTGGAGTCTATCCCAGCTGACTCAGGGTGAAGGCAGGTTCACCTGGACAGGTAACCAGTCTATCACAGGGCTACACTTAGAGACAGACAACCAAGCACACTCACATTCACACCTACGGACAATTTACAATCACCAATTAACCTCAGCATGTTTTTGGACTGTGGGAGGAAGCCGGAGAACCCGGAGAGAACCCACACTGCACGGGGAGAACATGCAGACTCCACGCAGAAAGATCCCGGGTGTCCTCACCGGGATGCAAACCGGCGACCTTCTAGCTGCGAGGCCACAGTGCTAACCACTGCTCCACCTTGCAGCCTGAGCTCTGACCAGAAGGCATTAAACATCACAGAAGTCTCTTTCATGGTGCCCAATGC